TATATGGATTTTACAGAAGTAGTGACGAGTTTAGAAGAACAAGTGAGTTTATGGTGCACAAGATCTTCGTTGTATTACCATTTTCACGTGATAATTTTAAATTTATCTATCGCTATTGCTATAGCATCGTGCTAGTAGTCACGCTCTTTTACAAGAATTTGCAGCAAAACTAAAAAGTTATAATGTACGTATAATTGCATATTGCACACTTGATTTTTTGAAATCCATCTAATTCGCCAATATTATAGTTTGCTTGCAAAGCAATAGCTATGCGAGGGGATGCACGTGATGAAATTGTTCGTAAGGTCGTTGAAATCAACGCAGATGCCCTAGTAGTTGGATCTCGTGGTTTAGGTGCTTTGAAACGGTTAGTATAAGTATCATTAATATCTCGTTTCAATTATATTAAATATTAATAATACTTTCACATAACAGTACGTTTCTTGGTTCTGTGAGCGATTTCTGTAGTCATCATTGCGATTGTACAGTTATCATTGTTAAATATCCAAAACCCTAACTACGAGTGTGATTTTGTGTTTTGATATTGTTTTACTGCTAAAGTTTACATTATGATACAATAAATTGTATATTATTAAAAAAAATTTTGCAATATATGTACGAATTTATTAACAATTTATTTATATTTAATTCCCTATCACGAACTTTTTTTGCTACTAGTTACACAGTATTATATATATTGATTAAGGATTTTTTTTTTTTTTTTGTGCTTAATGTTTAAATTAAGGAATGTAAAAATTGTATTAATTAGGCATTAAATACTGTGGTTTTACTAAATTAAATCCCAATTGTCTATACATATAATAAAATTTTGGAGTAATATTTTTTTTAAAATTTAATTAAGGAAATATATCGTTTACTACTGTATATAATATTCCCGGAACTCTTGCGTTTTGAATTGATTCGCACCGTAGGATATTATTTGGGGGTGAATAAACTATATATAAAATCTATAATAGCTGTTCCATCGGTCTCGCGTCATTTAAATGACGGGCCTGATAACTAGAGATTAGAATCAAACTTAATTTTTACATTCGAACTTATTTAATTTGAATTCGAATTAATTTGAATAATTCATATTAATTTATATAACATTCGAATTTATTGATTCGCCTAGGGTATAATAACGGTTATAATAGCTATATTACAGTGTATCGCATACATATATTTAACGACTACATTGTAGACATATTGTTTATATAACGGCTACCTTATACAGCATCCATTTTTCACGTATATTTATGCATGAATATTCTAACTTAATTCGAATATAATTTTAAATCGAATTAATTCGAATATTCAGTGAATTAAAGAATCTCTATTCTCATAGTGATATGGTGCACAAGCATTATGACGTAATTTTAGCTATTTTCATAACATTTTAGATAAAAGTCAATAATACAAAATGACAGACATGCTCAAGTATTACTATTACTGTAATTTGCTAATAGCTGTAGTGGTGCTCAATTGCTACGATAGTAGATCAAAATAAAGACCTCAATCACCGCTTGAATGAATTTTGAATGGTTTCTAAAACAAAACATAATAACAGCAATACGTTAGTGCGTTGATAACGAATATCTTAATAATGCATGTTGACAAGAGTCAACAGATCGAAAAGACAGGGGAGAATGGTAAGGGGTTACACGCCATGTGCTACAACCCCTGCCCTGATAACATGGGTTGGAGACATGCGAATGAAGCGACAAATGGCTTACTTGCGACGCTCTTTCCTCTTTCAACACAACCAAGCATTGCAACCATCTCTTTTTTCTCGACCCAACTTTTCTCACCACACACGGTAATCTTCTGATTCTGTCACATTCCTATTTAACAACCGGCTGATGCTGCTTCTCACTCGTTTTACTGTTACGATGATACCCGGCGTAATCTCACTTGCTAATTTTCCCGGAAGTATATCATCGTTTCAGTTCAAATTACTCAGCTCAATTACTCACAATGTATTCTGCGGACTTAAAAGTCCCTTAATTGAATTTATTTCCGGCACCTTTGGCTTGCCGGCATTCATCCAATTACATGACCAGTCGTACCTATGCTTTTCGAAAATATGAAATAGTTATAAGTTTTGATAAGCCAATGCAAAAAAAAGGTGGTTCAGCGCAAAAAGTTTTTTGATAAACTCGCTGATCATTTTTTCACTAAAATTTTTCTTATTCATCTTACAACAATCTTCATAAATTCTGAGACACTTGAAAAAATTGTCAGTGACTGAATCGATAAGTTTTTGATCCGACACATTTAAATTTATTGATTGAGGCTTAAAAACTACGGGATAACAAAAAATTTAGTATTCCAATTTTAAGATTCAAATATCGTTAGGGCGGTTATTTGTATATATTGAAACTTAAACTTTATTAGGGCGAAAGCCCAAAATGTACTTTTTCTATTTAATAATAAGTTTGTGGAAAAAAGATCGTATAACAATCACGTGCTATCGTTTCCGTTTAAAGATGTTGTATAACCGGTGATTTCCCCCCGGTGAAAATTAGAAATTTCTTTTCTTTTTAATTATTATTTATTTTTTTATATATTCAATAGCTGTTTAATAAGCAAAAAAATTTTGAGTACAATTTTGCTAGCACAGTGCTTTGATGTACTGCTCTAGTTCAAATAACCAGTACTAAGTAGAGTATCTTATACAATTAGTTGAATTTTGTGTAATTTAAAATTACTAAAAAAAGCTAACTTGAAAAGAACCAATTATTAAAAATAATCAATAAGCTAATCAAAATTTCATTCAAGAGTAATTTAGCATAGTACCAAATGCTTCATAGAAAGACTTTTGTATAATTGGCTGTTTAACTCAATTTAATTTTACATTATTTATACAGTTTAAAGTACTTTTTAAAAAAAATCAAACTACAAAGAATAAACAAAAAAGAAGTATATAGAAAGTTTTATCAAAGTTGTAGAACTCCAATATTAAAAATAATTAAATTCATTTCTGGTTTTAGAGAAGTTAGTATGATCATAACCTAATTCTATCTATCTTTAAGAAGTCGCTATTATGCTAACTTCTCTAAAACCAGAAATGATTTTGACTATTTTTAATACTGAAATCCTACAACTCTAATAAAACTTTCTATATATTTCTTTTTTGTTTATTCTTTATAGTTTGATTTTTTTTAAAAAGTACTTTAAACTATATAAATAATGTAAAATTAAATTGATTTAAACAGCCAATTATACGAAAGTCTTTCTGCCAAATGCTAACAATTATTTTTAAACACTAACTAATAAACAATCACCTGGCAAACTACAATGTTCTACTTTGGCCAATCTTCTAATTTGGGATAGCTCCCTATTACTAATAATAAGCCCATAATATTTAGTGAAAGTACATTATCTGGTTAGACCTTTATTAGTTATTACTATCTATATATTGCAAAAAAAGAAAAAAAAAGGTTAAAAAAGCCCAGACACATAAAGGAAATGCAGTATATAAAGTTTTTATAACAAAGTTCACTTTTATCGACCCGCCTTGCGATCTAAATCCAACGCAAGGATATAGAATGCCTTTAAATTTGTCAGGTAGATAGCATGTAATTCCTTTAAATGTTTTATCATAAATAGTAAATTTGCCAACTAATTTACTACCTAATTTGCGTCGAAAATATATATTTTAATTTCTAAAATAATAATTACCTAAGTTGACTCCATTTTTAGTATAAAATACCATCTTATTTTAAAATTTAAATAGCATCCGACTGTATCACCAGTTAGTATATGGTGGTCTATAGACTCAACATTTTCAGGATAAAAGGAATATCCATCGTCGATTCAACAGGGGGAACCGTCCAACGTTACACAACGTTCATGTATTGTCACATGCTGTTCAGCCAATCAAATCGTAAGATTTAAAAGAATAAAAAATGCGAAAAAGAACGAATTTCAAAGCAAAATTGAAACCCCAATGAATTTAAAATTATAAATAAACGAATTATATGTTTCTGTAAAGTGATGAAGCATGCCATTATCTGTTTATTTATTGTCACGGATTATCGTGAAATCGGATTATCGTGAAATTTGGATCTATTTTATGTACGATTTTTAAAATTTT